CTTTCACTTCAAAGTGCCGAGCGCATGGCGAAGGAACAGTTGCTACCCATTTTAACGACTAAGTCAGTCGCGCCCGAGATACGAACTCACGACCTCTCGATCACGGAGCGAGCGCTCTACCAACTGAGCTACCGTGAACGGTACTTTTACCGGGGAATGTTCGATTAATGCGACGTTCGTTACAAAGAATCGCAGGTTGTTTTGTGTCTTTGGCTTTCCCTGCCCTCCCAGCCCTTGCATTGTTTATCTTTAAAAATTTGTGAGTTTGATTTGTATGTTTTGAATAAAAATGCGATTTGTAATGAACGAAACAATCCTACAGTATATTCTTTTTCTTTGTTTTTCAATAAATTAGGGTCGACCATAAATTAGTCAAGAAAATATTTATTTGCGGAGGAGTGAAACGAGGGAGATAAGTGGACAGACTTTTGCCTGAATGTCAAAACAAAAGCTTGTCTCTAAAGAGAATTGTCCAAATGTGGTAAATTTTTATTTTGCAGTCAAATAAAAAAAATTGAAACAGGCAGATATTCAAAGCCTTTCATCCCAAAAGAATCTCGGGTTTGTTTTTTTTTTTCTTTTTTTTTTACTTTTGTAAAATTAATATAAGGTGTTGTTGAAACAAAAGACTATGGAATTCCATACACGACAGCCAACTGATTACTGCTTATTGTCAACTGCTCACTGCTTACTGCCAACTGCCGCTGCTCATAGATGATATTGCCTGTTTTATTATCTTTAATACCTTTAATACGCATGCTTAATTGATTAAACCTTATGATAGATTACACTAATGACACAAATTGGTTGGTTTAGAAATTTTTTAACAGTGGAGGCAAGAAAGGAATAAAAGGAATAAATAGGAGGAAAGAGTAATCCCTTTTAAACACAATATATCTAATTCCCACATTTTTTTTGCAAGCAAATACTTCAATAATTTTTTGGAGATATTAAAGGCTTATAAACGTCAGGAAAATAGGGGGGACAAATTTTTGATGGGATCTTGGGTTATACCGACATATAATTCCCTTGAGAAGGAATTAAATTGAGGGAGCACTACTGTATGGAAATGTAGTGGGTACACCCACCACCACAACGAATGTTTTACAGGTCCAACATTAATTTAGCAATACAAATCAGGAGCAGTGTTAGCGTGACAACGTGTTGTGTGTTAGCGCGATAGCGTGTTGCGCGAACTCGTGTTAGTGCGACGGCGTGTTTTACTGAACGCGATGGTGAGCTTTAGCAAATGGCCCTATCTGGACACCATATTTCTTTGCTAGAAACAACATTATTGTCAAAATAGGAAGAGACAAGAGACAGTTTTTTTCTTCTTACTGCGATAAATTCACAGCAGAAATTTCAGGGAACATACATGTATATCATATGGTGCCTAGAGTGTATTCGATTAAGACAACCCGTGTCGCACTAGTGTTAAATATGCGCATGCTCACTGATTGAACTCTAGTGATATAAATAAAACATCTCATGTTGTTTAGTTTTTGTATAAATAAGGCGGGGAAAACAGTATATTCCCTGTATATCTGGTTTGAACAGGACAAACAATTGATTAAAACACAATATCCAATTACCAAATAAAGAATGGCAAATAATTAAATACGAGACCTCAAAGCTGAAATTAATTGTTCAACAAAATGTATTAAATATACAGATACAACATGTATTTAATAGATTATTTAGATTATTTATCCTTGCAATATTATTTAACAACTCCTCTTATTAAAATAAAAAAAAGTAGAATAAGAATGTGTTCACATACATACATGTCAACAGTACACGTATTAAATATCATAGTGACAAGCGTTTTGAAAGGGGGGGGGGGGCAAGCCAGAGAAATAAAAACGAAACTCCTATTTAGTTAGAGGAGGGGGGTGTAGGTCCCACTTCCTTCAGCACCGAATCTTGCTTGGCTTTACTGTAACAAACAGAGGGAGGAAGCTACCGGTGGTCTTCAAAAGCAACGAAGATTTTTTAAAAGAAGAGAGAGATGTTTGGAAAAAAAGGTGCGGGGAACGCTTCCACCAGCTGCTACGTGCCTGTTTTCTCTCCCCCCGTAACATTTTGCATGGAGTATAATAATTGGTCAGAAAAGTACCACAGCTGACATTTTTCATCAATATAGTGTTAGTCATAGGATGTGAGAGACATATATACTTTTACAAAAAATGTGACGCTGGGCTCCCACTCTTTACCAGACATAATATGTTTTTACGATAGAAAACGTACGTTGAAAGTTCGGTTGAAAACAACCAACCCCAACGCCCCAAGTTTTGGTTGCACCACTGTCAAATTAGGATAATATACTAGTATATAGATAATGCAGTGATTGAGCAAAATTTTGGCGCTGAGAAGTTGAAGCCCATATTCTTTTGTTCAATTTACTTAAAAGGATGATCACCTCATTTGTTGTAGATTGTTTGTGGTACTCTAAAAAAAAAAAAAGCTAAATAAAATAAACTCCCCGGCTTAAAATTCCCATACTTCACATTTATAGCAACGTATTAATTTTTTTTTGTTTAGTTTTTTATTCACTCATGCCTTATAAGTCTATGGTTATGTATAAAATCACCTGATGTTTGTTTTTGTTGTTTCTTTCTTTCTTTCTTTCTTTTCTTTCTTTTTTTGTTAATTTCTGTATACTGTTGTAAAATGAAGAGATTCAAATAAATGATTAATTGATTACCTGGTCCAAGACAGTTTTCCTTGTTTGGTAATAACTTGCCATATAAAAGCGTAGCTTATTCACATGGTGAACCAGTGATATACTAGTACGTGTAAATACTGACCTTGCTCAGTTATGTAATCCATGACGTGCCTATAGTTTAATTTTTAAGTAAATGTACTGGGCTCTAGCATGTTCTAAAAATAATGAGGACTAGGGAAAAAATTAATGTAAAGGGAAAACGATAAAGAACGTATCTTTACACAGAAGACAAAAATAAAAACCAAAGACATATCTTTTATACATTTTACATCCGACCGGTTATGAAAGAAAATTTGGAGAGGAAGGAGGGAAATTGATAAAGAGATGAAAGATTACTGGTGATTTACTGGGATATCAAATACATTAAAAACAAGTTGCAGGGAACTTGGTAAGAGGGCTTAGAGGGGAGGAGGCATCGTAGCAAATCACAGCCAAAAGGTACAATCTTCTCCCTTCTGAAGAGAGCTATATGCGAAATCAAGACCCTGGCTTGAAACAATGGGCTTTATATGATTTCCTAAAAGATGCTTCTACAATAAAATAAGTATTTTTGATACTGAAGTAGTATTAATTCAAGGGAGGCTACTTACAGAAAAGTTGATGTTGCAAGGGTTTCTACATCCTAATTTTAAGTCGGCATTACGTAAATTTTACAGTTGACTAGTTGTTATAATGACCTTGTTAGCAAATATGTCCCACCATTGCTACATATTTTGACTGACTTATTTTGGTTGTTCCCGTTTTGCACAATAATTAGGTATAGAACAATAGGTGTGAAATATGTTTTGATAACAATTATAGTCTGATTTCTGGTTAGGATTTACCTGGGTTAGCCTGTGTTTTACATATGTATCATGAGCAGGAAGAATAAATATTTATTTAATGTATATGAATATCTTTTGTAAAAAGTGAATTTACGAAATACTAGTATTTCATTTAATATTAATTATTGTATTTAAAAAAAAAACTGACAAGAAATAATTTGTAAAGCTAATAATTCAAAAATTGACATCGATTACCGATTACTATTCATGATTAATTATTTAGTGTAAAATTTCTATTTTGTTATAAAAGTAAAGATTGAAATTGAAAATTTTAAAGCCAATTGGTAGGCCTTTGTTTTTCAATCTGATTAAAATCAAATCCTTTGATCCGCTCCCGTAGATCGCTACACAAAAGTGTACTTTTGTGTAGCGATCTACGGGAGCGGATCAAAGGATTTGATTTTAATCAGATTGTTTGTTTTTATATTGAATTTGACTACAGAATATTCCATCTGATCAGTACATATGCTCACAGCTGGTAAGGCCGGTCGACAGGGGATGTTACTCCTCCTTATCCCTGATCCCACTTCTGGAATTTCCAGAGGTCTGTGTTTATGCCCTCTTTGCAAAGTTGTATAGTTTAATAGATTTTTTTTTTAGATCAATCGACTATGCATATTTATTATCTTTACCTTTTTTATGACAAGTTTTAAAACAATAGTGCAAATTTTTTTTCTAAGAAATGTGAGCATTTAAAGATAATCAGTTACAAATTAAATAATTTATCATTTGTTCTCCTTTTAACATGTGTATTTGTTTGTTTCTTTTTTGTGTTACTTAATTTGTTTTGTATCTTTATATTTTGTGTACCTGTGGATTTTTTATGTTTGTGTAACAGGAAGGGAGAAAATGTACGGCTAGTCCGAAAAATCGAACCTAGGACCCCTGCATCTTCAGTCAGTGCTCTACCAACTGAGCCATCCAGGCTGATATCCACTGCCCAAACCATTACATTTGTTTGTATGCTCAACAAGATGCAGGGAGGTGCACTTATAGTGTTAAAAAAATTGAACCCTTTTCCACTAGAAAGTTTATCTTCCTGCAATGAACCTTTAACATGACGATTTGACAATAGGTCATAACAATGAATAGGTCAGAACAATGACATAACCTCAGGGAAGTTTTGTGTCAAGTTCAAACTTCCTTAGTTTCCCAATTACGAAGAATTGTTTTCATATAAACAGATGGACAATGTAATTCAATAGTAAGTGTATATAGCCCCTAACTCAGTGGGGCGTAATTAATAATGTTGATTTTAAACTGTTGGAGACATAGTACACAAAGGTACCCTCCTTAGCATGACAGGCTAAAAAAATGCATTGGTGATAGACTAACATGAAAGATTGACATGACAGACTGACAAAAGCATGACAGACAGACAGATTGGAGTGGTTTATACACCTGGAAGTCACCACTGATGATGTAGTCAAATCCATGTAAAAATAGATCTCTGTGTTTTTCATTAACTGATCTTTGGTTGTCCTGGCAAAAGGAAATAACAAAATATATCTGAAATGTTGTATAGTGAACAGTTATCAAAACACAATGACCAGGAAATAGTGATGTATTTCAAATTTTTAATGCATAAAATAAATTAACATAAGGAAAATAAAAAATGCACACGTAAAATTAAACTGAACACATTGAAAAAAGTTCTTCTAACAAAACTGAACACATTGAAGACCTTTCTTCTGGTTAGTCTGATTTCTTGTCATAAAACTGGACTTCCTGTTTTGGATGAGATGAACTTCCAAAGAGCAGAGATAACCGAGAAATAATAATTCTGACACACTTGAGAAGTATAGTCACTGCTCCCACCAGAAATATAAATATTGCTGCCACAATTATCACTGTTGAGAATAAGGTCAGTTCATAACTCTGGGATGGCATGTTGATATCCTTGAGGAAAAATTTATAAAATGTGTGCTCTTGCAGAATGACAAAAATATTTTTCTATATGTTTGCAAGTATTCATTGCTGTCTTGAAAGCTGCTAATATTCTTTGACTGGATTTTTGAAACAGGAAATTTTCTCTTTTTATTCATTGTAGGTCATCCTTGTTGCTTTTCTCTGGCAAGCATTCTCATTAGGATTTAGCTGCAGCAAACTAGATTAAAAGAAAAAAATATATATAAAGTTACAGTAAAATATCACTTTATTGAATGTTACTTACAAGTAAAAACATTTCAATCACACAAAATTAAAGAATCTGGAATTCAATTCATTTATTGTCAGGAATTATGTTCTGTTGATTACTCAGATGGAATTAAGACTGAAAATGAAAAACTCTAAATATTTAAAAACTCTACAAAGCACTTATTTCTAACAATACCGTCATACATGACAATGAAATGAGTTTTGACATTGGATGGATATCAGACACATATCAAGGTTTAGAGATGCAGACAGACTAGGTCATAAAACACTTAGATTGACCAGGGTTTTCTAATGATTGATTTTTCAAGGTTTGCTACATGTTACAATAAAATAAATGTAATTTGCTGGTGTAACCAATCAAATTTCTTTCAATATAAGAGTAAACTCAGTATGACTTGTATTGATCAATACAGTTAAATATCCTTATATCTCAAAATGATGGGACTGAGAAAAAAATTAGATATTCAAAGATTCGAGAGATTAAATAAATACTTTTAAAAATTCTTCTACTATTAATATTGCTGAGGTCAAAGAAATACTGTGGACATTATTCTCCAATAATTTAATTCTGGTTGTAATGTGTCATTCAATTGGATAAAAATTTCATCTAAATTGTATAACCTGGGTTGCCTCCGTCAAAAACTTATCCATCCGCTTGACGTTAAGTTTAAAATATGAACAATTTGTAGACTTTTTAAGGGAGAAATTTTCTTGTTTTCTTTACTTAATTATGATTGAAATTGAATTTAAATAATAAGGAATGAATAAAACAGCAATCCAAGTTAAACTGCTATAACCTGGGTTGAAGCAGTTTACGCCTTCTAATAATCCGCTTCATGATTTAACACTTTGAACACTTTTCAACACTTTCTGACTGTCGCTTATAAACCATTATGAATAATATTTTCATCGATACAGTTACTTCACAGTAACATTCGTAAGAAAAATAGGGGGTATATATCCCATCTACAACATATTGCTTACACCCCGGACAGAACATTGCTTTTTCGTAAATATCATAAAATACAAATTGTATCATTTACAAACGATTAGTATAGATAACATTGTATTTAAAAAATGATGGTAAAGAAAAGCTTTGTTCTGATATTTGATCATAAACACAGTGTAGCGTCAATCTTGCTCCGATCCTCAGAACTGTGTTGAGGTGTTTGATACAAATAGAATTAGAAAGCTAGACTAGTGTCCAGTGGATTCATGAGTATTTTCATTCAGTATTTTTTAGAGGGGTGGTGAAATAGAAAGACGACAAACATATCTTGACGAGCCCCTATACTATAGTCTGACCTGTTAAATGATACAAAACATATAAAGTACTTTTTAACCTGAATATCTTCAGATATCTCAAGATACACTCGTATATATTCTTACCTAACCGTAAAGGGAATGATTCCGGGAATGCCTCAAACGCTAAATACAAAGAGGAACCACTTGTGGCTATGTTACCGAGAAGGTACTTCACGTAGGATGCATTTAATCCGGATTGTACTTATTCCAAAATATCCACAGGGACAGGTAATATACTCAATACTTTGTTTGATGTAACGTATCACTTATTACAACAACCAAGACGTGTTTGTGGAACACTGATGCCCCCGTATGTCAATATAGCGAAGATTAAACTTTTCTGGACCTTGTTGAATGTAAATTTTAATATGTTGGTGCCCAAAGTAAGGTCTGCTCACAAGAAATACAAGAAATATAAATATAAAAGCCCTAGCACCACCTGTTCAAAAGTTATGATCAAGGATAAGCTTTAGAAAGGTAAGTCAAACTCCAGGGTCAAGGTCAAAGGGTCAAAGTTGTTGGTTTCTAAAAAAGCCCTGTAAGGTCTTGTCAAAAGGATAAATATGTGAAGCATGAAAGATCTAGCCCTGACCCTTCAAAAGATATGACCAATGTTTGTTTTTTTTTAAAAAGAAGGTCAAAATCCAATGTCAAGGTCAAAGGGTCACAGTTTTTAGAATCCAATGAAAGGTCTTCTCACAAGGATTTTATGTGAAGTATGAAAGCCCTAGTCTCAACCGTTCAAAATTTATGGTTTAGGTTAAGATTTTTCCCCAAGTATGTAAATCTCCAAGGTCAAACGGTTAAAGTTGTTGGTGTCCAATGAAAGATCTTGTCACAAAAAATACATATGAAAGTCCTAGTACGGTATCTACCGTTCAAAAATTATGGCCAAACTTAAAAATTGTAATTTGTGTAAAAGTTTGTGTCAAACTCCAAGGTCGAGGTCAAAAGGTTAAATTTGGTGATACCCAGGGAAAGATCTTGTCAGAAGGAATACACTTGTGAAATATGAAAGTCATAGCTCCACTGAATCTTTCGTTTCGGGGGCATAATAGTTTTACTTCTCTTTCGAACACGGTTCTTCGGCGAGCATACATTTTACTTCCGCTTCTCACTCCCGTCGTTCGTCTACCTGAGTACTGTTCAAAAGAGCGAACGCTCGCGAATTTTTTTTTTTTTTTTTGGAGGTATAACGAAATTTGGTGAGCGCCGCGAACGTTCGCTCTGTTGAAGAGGTCTCTGTTTACACGTAAGCTATCGGTAGATGTAGATGAAAATTTGTTTACTGAATGATTTCTTATCCAATGAATCTAGTGTTGATATTGACTAAAATCTACGTTGAATCAAGGCCCCATCTTAAAAATGAACTTATAATCTTAATTTATAAAGCATACTTCTACATTGCTCCTCGTTCAACTCGCATTGTTGCTGAAACTATTGCAACCATTTTGACATCCTAGTGTTAGATGGCGTGCGAACATTATTATACTCCCTTTTATGATTTTATTGTTTGTATTAAAGCAATGTTGGACAATAGCAGTGTGAACTCTAATAAAACCATATCAAGTAGATAACCTGTCAGCATTTTAATTTTTTTCTGATTTACATCGTTCACATCATCGGCATCCCAATACTGGACGATATCGAGTTGACAATGACATTGTGTTGTGTCAACATTGCCTTCTTTTTTTCTTGTTTATATCGTTCGCATCGTCGACATCACAACGTTGGACGATATCGAGTCGACATCGCGTCAACATTGAACTCTTGTTTACATCATTAACATTGCCGTATCGCAACGTTGGATTAACTGCAGGGACGTAGCAACAGGGAGGGGGGGGGCTGGCCCCCCACTTTTTTCCCCAACATTACCTTTACCATTGAAAATGTCCATTGAAAGGTTGGTCCTCCCCCCTTCTTACCACAATATAGAAATATGAAGGAAATGTAGTATTGTATGGAAAAAAATGGAAGTGAAAGGAAGTTGGCCTTGAAAAAAAGTTGGCCACTACCCACTCCGCTATACGCTCCATTCAAACCTCGGATGTGAAAGGTGGAGTAATACGCATTAAGTCGATACATTTCTCAGCTGGAAACTTGCTCGTCACTCATTTCATATTTCGCTCTGCCTAAAGTTTTTCGAAAAGATTTCTTTGAGTAATTCCTCATGTTAATTACAACAATATGTTAGTAGTCTTTGAAAGCAAGAATTAACACAGTGTTGAGCCTGCAACAAAGTAACTCGGATTTAAAAAGTATAATATTTGAATGAGATTCAAATAAGATCACATGACTAACTCTGCAAGATGGTACATCGAACACCTTTGACGTCCGAGGTTAGTGTTCGGTTAATGGAGCTCCGAGTGATCAAATACCGGTATAGTTTTGCGCATCATTGCCCAGCTAGTGTTACATGGGCTCATTAAGAGCAATAATAATCAAAGTACCCAAGAAGATTGATCAATATTCTGGAGAATTGGATATTTTTGCTATAAATAGATCTATGCCACGTATACGTTTACAATTATATAGATATGATTCTCAAGTACTTGCATCATTCACTTCTATTAACTTTAAGTTGATATCCACTACGAAAGTCAAATCATGAAAAGTTTAGTCACATAGATCTACTTTACGATGATGAATAATTGGCACATACATGTATTTTGTTTTGTACATGTCCATATATACTTCAACTTAAAAAAAAAAAAAACGGAAATTGATGTTCTTCCGGCTCGAAACCCCCTAACAATATCAGTCCACGATCAGGAATTTCTTGTTGGTTTAACCTTGAAGGTGGATTTTTATAATGTTTTCTAAGAAGTTGCAAACTTTCTTGATATTATTGAGTATATTTCATAACGGCCATACAGGTAGGTGGGTATAACCAGCTATATGGTGAATATATTGTTAACTGAAGTTTATAGACATGTATATATGCCGGTATCATAAAACATTTGTATTAATTAATGGTCGCTACCTCTGATCACATATCATTCTTTATGTTTCTAAGATACAACAGTATTGCCCACAGCAAGTTTTTCAAAGTCGTCCGTTACAGATGACCCCGAAGCAACAAATGAAACTTTGTCAAACATAACTCTGACGAATTCAAGTAAAACGGATTCAACATCAAAATCAACGCTAGCATCAACAACACAAAAAACTGGAGGAAACACAGGTTAGCTTATTAAGAAAAAAAAAACAACCTCATTTTTTTTTTGTCTTCAATAAATAATCCCCGCCCAAAATCTCTCTTTCTCTTTCTCTCTCTCTCCCCCTCTCTCTCGTTATAGGTCTGCACAAGTCCACCTATATTATAAACGTCTTTTTCTCGAGAAAAAAAAAACGATTAGAATTATTTTTTGTTGTTTATTTATTTTCTTTTTTATTTACAACAAAAGTTCTGATCTAAAAAAAAAAGGGGGGGGGGTCGATCTGGACTCATGGACTCTTTATTGGAGTCGTGCATCAAGAGCCCTGAGCTCACTGGTGACTAATCCATGATTGCTCAATCTCAGGACCTCTAGAGGATGAAACTCATTCTGATGTATAACGTTATCTAATATATTGTTTTTTATTCATACAGACTGAAAATTGATAAAAGCATTTAATCTCGTTTTCTTCTGTCATGCCTAATATATCATATTTTAAAAAAAATCTGTAATCACTTATTAACACTTCCCCCGTTCTCTCGATTTTAATTAACTAATTAATACTATATCCGACTTTTAATTAAAAGTTTTTTTTCTATATTTCACACTATCTATCTTTCCCTAGCGGGAAAAAATAGAGTCAATGGGGAGATAACGCGGAAGACTGCATTACGTCTGCGCATGTGTGTCAATAAAGAAGCCATTGCTCCTCCAAGGTTGACTCGAAACTAACCGACAAATATAATTTTTTGCGGCGTAGAAGAAAGATGAGATCGAACAAATTATTTGTTCTATGTGCTGTACTGTTCACAGCGTTAACTGGTATCGATCAAGGTAAGAAAATTTGGTCTGATATGTTTTTTCTCACAATCGAAAATTAGGGTCACATACGTAAAAAAAAAGCACCATCTATAATCAGCTGATCAAGTAGTGTACATTGACATTTTATGAATCAACGCACTTACAACGGTTTGCAATGACGAATATCCTGTGCTCTCACAGAAATTTTTATGCCAGGTTAAATAAAGACTTATTTCTGTAGAGTTATTACCCCAATAGCATATGTTGTGCAGTTCTCCGTTTGATGTGTTGACTGGTGTCAACAAAGTTTTGTGTATACAATACAATATTAATGATGTGTGACATCATGTGTCCATTTCAACCAATGTCAATTGTCATGCATTGATTTAATTCACTACCTGGACTGCAACAAGGCCAAGTAACCTTTGGTATAAAATATTATAGCATACACTAAATATAGCTCATGAGACATGAATTACCCCAGTCCTTTTCCAACTGAGTTGTATAAAAACTATAAAAGGATAAACATAGCACAACAAAATGTAAAAAGATGCTTTGCATGAGACTCTTGCCCATGTGTTGAAGGATTAACTTTTGGCAATGTTAAGGTTCACAAAGGTGTGACCTGAAAAAAATCATCCAAATGACTCTGCACACATTTTCATAACACGCTCTAGTGCTTCTTGAAAAATAATGCAAGGATGAATTTAAGGTATCGGGGCGTATTGTTATGAACTTCAAAAGTTCTGTTTCACTCTAATGATTTATTTATTTCCCCAGAAACACACAGAAATGCATTAACAAATTATTTAGGGTTTATTTCCTCATTTAGGCCATAATAAAAAAATTCTAGATTCTCATACTCATCCATAGTTTTTAAAGTATCATTGTGGTTGCATGTGCAGATTTTATTATATGTTTGTTATTTGTCTTCCTTTGTACTTATTTTTTTTTTTTTGGAGGGTGGGGGGATAAACAATGGGGAGGGAATATGAGGCAATTAGGAATAAGAGTGTTGTTTTTTTTTTTAATGGGCTTAAGTCGTATTGCCTTATAACTCAATTATTACTTTTTAGTGATCATAGTTCATAATGATTTGTTGAAAAGAATCAAATCTCATATATAACCTGGAAAACTATAACCTATAAACTATATACTATAAACTATAAAGTAATTGGTGTTGCTTTTTGCTGTTCCTTATAGTTTCTGTGGGGAAAATAATCACAAGACTGTAATTTATCAGTTATAATATATTTTTGGTAAAGAATGTAACATATAAACATCAACCGATTTAAAAATAGTGGAAATTTTTACAATATAGGGATGTGTTAGATTGCTGTCAGCTAGGGGAGTGGGTTGTCCTTAGTAATTTTTTCAGTGTACGTGTATTACAATACACTAGAAAATCACTG